TCTCTTGGAGGAGAGACGAAACGTTTCATTAGAGAAGAACCCGTCCAGAAGACCTATACTATTTTTTTCCTTTTTACCTTTAAACACAAATATTATCTTTACAAAAGTGAAGTACCTGTACAGAGAAATGTTTTAAACAACAAACAGACACACTGGTACTACAGTATATAAAAGCCCAGCTCTGAGTATGCGAGGAGTGAACCAACTCAAACATGTTTTTGTGTCTCAGGTTGTACGTCTTTGCTGGGGATGGAGGGCGGAGCCATCGAGGAGTCTCAGRTCACTGCGTCCTCCATGCACTACGGGGTTCTGGGTCTGCAGCGCTGGGGCCCGGAGCTGGCCAGACTCAACAACCAGGGCATGGTTAACGCCTGGACCTCAGCCTCACACGACAGGAACCCTTGGATTGAGGTGAGAGGAGAGGCTTTTTGAGCTGTGATCGGAGCGATGAACCTGACCTCTGACCTCTGTAGATCAACATGCAGAAGAAGATGCGTCTGACGGGCATCATCACTCAGGGAGCCAGCCGCATGGGGGCGGCMGAGTACATCAAGGCCTTCAAGGTGGCGAGCAGCCTGGATGGAGTCAGTTACATCACCTACAAAGGAGACGGGCTGAGGAGGGAAAAGGTCAGAGGTCACAGCCTAAAACCTGAAGGACACCTCCTCTGTTTCCTCACCTCCTCTCTTGTGTTTGACCTGCAGGTGTTTGTGGGGAACAACGACAACGACGGCACAAAGACCAACATGTTCGACCCCCCTGTGGTGGCTCAGTTCCTGCGGATCGTCCCCGTGGTGTGCCGCAGGGCGTGCACGCTGCGCATGGAGCTGGTGGGCTGCGACCTCAACGGTACTCACTGAGAGGACCTACGGACTCTGAAACATAGCAGGAACGGGTTTGGTCTGGTTCTGATGGGTCTGGAGTTTTTCACTCGTCGATCAGATAAAACGGATTCCAGCTGCAGAACATCTGGATCTTTAGAAGGTTTCATACAAACTGGTCCTGGACAGACCTCCTGCAGGCTGCAAACATTAGGATCAGAGGTCTGGAGAAGTCTTTATATTTCCAGATTATTCTCTGTCCCGTCTTTATRAACAGGTCCAAATTATTTGATGGCAAAATAGAAAACGTTCATGAATTGAAATCGATAACGACAGAACCAGAACCAGAACCAGAAGTTAGTTGTTTCTTGTTGAAAATCCAAACAAAGCCTTCTGATTGGCTCCGCCTCTTCCTTCCTGCTGCAACTTTTAACTGTCAGATTTGATTCTTCTTCCAGGTTGGGGTGTATTCACTCTCTGTCTGCTCTGTCCCGCTCCCTCGCTCCGTTCCTCCGTCTGTTTTTTATTCTCAGTTTATTCCGACCCGGCAGGTTGTTCAGAACCGCTGGGGATGAAGTCCCGCCTCATCTCTGACGAGCAGCTGTCGGCCTCCAGCACCTTCCGGACCTGGGGCATCGACACCTTCACCTGGCACCCTCAGTTCGCCCGGCTGGACAAGGCGGGGAAGACCAACGCCTGGTCCCCGGCCCAGAACAACCGCTCCGAATGGATCCAGGTCCGAGGACGCTTCGGTGTCTGCAGCCAGGTGGTTCTGCAGAACCTCACGGTTCTTGTCTCCTGTCTTCAGGTCGATCTGGGGAAAACAAAACGCCTGACGGGCATCATCACTCAGGGAGCGAAGGACTTCGGGGTGGTCCAGTTTGTGTCAGAGTTCAAGGTGGTCTTCAGCCATGATGGAGTGGCGTGGAGCGCCGTGAAGGAGGAGGACGGCGGCCATGATAAGGTCTGGACCTGGGTTGACCTGAATCCTGTCTCTGACCTGTTCCAGGTCCAAATGATCTCTGATTGTCTCAGAGAGCAGATGTTCTGTTCRGGGATGGACAGTCTTAACGTGGCTTCGGCTTGTTGTTGCACCTTTAGCTGAGTGCTGACACTAAGCAGCTAAAGCTTTCTTACCTCYTCCTGCAGATCTTCCAGGGAAACGTTGACAACAGTTCTCACAAGAAGAACGTCTTCCAGCCTCCGTTCTTCGCCCGCTACGTCCGCGTCCTCCCCTGGGCGTGGCACGAACGCATCACTCTGCGCCTGGAGCTGCTGGGCTGCGACGACTGAGGACGCCCTGAAGCTCCGCCCACATCCATCTGCAGCCTGCCCATCCACCCGCTGGCTCCTCCTCTAACCGCTGGCTCCTCCTCTAACTGTTAGCTCATCCTCTAACTGTTAGATCAGGGGTGTCAAACTCCTGTCCTCGAGGGCCGCTATCCTGCATGTTTTAGAGGTTTTCTTGCTCCAACACACCTGATTTTGATC